GTGGCTCCCGCGCCCCCTATTTTCGTTCGTTACCTATCGACCGGGCTTTATCTATTTTTTATGCAATGAAATGCCCCGATACCAATGGCGGCGCGGCCGCGAGCGCCCGCTCTCCATTGTACGACTTTGACGAAAATTCGAAATTACAGCGCCCCGGAAAAGGGGATATTCGCCCCTTTTATATAGAAAAATGGCAGCGAGGGCATTCGAATCGTTTGATAACTTCCACCGTTCTGGGATTCGAGATCGTTATATATATATTTTTTTTCTTCTTTCTCTTTTACCACCCCTTGTCACTTGTACGAACGAGATTCCAATCCTCATCCCCTCGATCTTGCCGTGAAAATGTTTGCGAAATATATTTTCTCGAAACGGTGTTTATGGAGAAATCATTGTACACGTATGTGTATAGGAAACGCGTGATTGAGATATAAGTGCAATTTTTATTAGAAAAATTTCTTTCTAAAAATTTCTCGTTGTTCGAACGCGACAATTTTTCCAAATTTATTCCACAATGGGAATAATACGCCTTTTCAATCCCTAACTTGGAGAAGTATTTCCATTTCCTTGGTGAATTTATACGAAGATCAGTATGAAACCGGAGTAAAGAAATTATCAAATCGTTAAATATCTTCCCCCATAACGATCCCTAAAAGCTGTCCAACCACCCAAAGAACCGTCCACCGAAGACAAACGAGCGGACGAGTTTACGAGGTCTAAAAAGACCCTTGGCGAAAGTGGTGCCGGTAGAATAATTCTGTCACTCTGGGTGGGAATCGTCGTGGTGGATGTCTGGTCTCCGGCCAAGTTGCTCGACTTGACCAGCCAGGCGAGGGTGGGGATGTTTCGGTCGAATTTATTCATGGGTCGTGTCAACCCGTGGGGAGAATCCTTTTTCGCGAATTAGCCGGGTGTCGAAGCTCTAACACGCTTAATCTGTATCCAACTATGGCGATACACGTTCCGGCATATTTCCATGCCATTATGCAAAGAGGCAGCGCGCCGCGTGGGTAACATTACTTTGTACAGCCATCGACGCGTGGTGCGAGAAAGAGAGAAGAAAACGGGCGGTATGGTGGTGGAGGGAGAGCGAATGAGCGAGCCGAGGTTGGTTAAACCATCGAGGCTCGTGCGTGCTCCATCGATTTATTATAATTTAAATTGTCTTTCTAAGAAGCCGACTGTACGTGCACGTACGTATATACACACAGGACGCGCCTTAATGCGCTGCCGTTCGTTAATTATTCCTCCGGCATCCCGTAAATATGCATGAATTATATATCGCGCGGCACGAAAGGGATACCGGGACGAATGATTAATACACGCTTGCGTTTCTCTATTTTCTTTTTTTTTTTTTTTTTTTTTTTTTTTTTTTTTCCTCGACTCGAGATAGCCACCCACGGTTTCCGTTTTTCTCCCCGAAAGGGAGAGCAGATCGCGGGGTGATAAATTTCTCGGTTTCTCGATAAAGATCGACGAGACGCGATAATCGAGGATGCTGAATTTTTTCGTTAATCTCGAATCTTCTTCTTAGATGTTCTTCTTGATCCTCGATGAAATAATTGAATTCAAAAAAAAAAAAAAAAAAAAAAAAAGAAAGAAAATATCTGGAGGAAATTCGAAAGAGGCAGAAACGATGATCGAAACCGTGCCTAATTCCATCTGCATCGTATTAACGGAAAGAAAAATTCTATCCCGGAAAACTCGGGATCAAAGGATCGAATGAAGAAGCGGAAGACACCGTTCGACCGATATCATCGATAGTGTAGCACCGACTAATACGTCTCTGTATCGATAATAAGTTACCATAGAAACTCAGTGAATGGCACGTTGGTAACGCAAAAATCCGGTAGCGAATAATTGCCACAAATTCCAATCTTCACTCCCCCTTTTCCCTCCCTCGCGCATTCAAACGCGGCCTCGCGAGATTGTACATTCGCCGGTGGTATTTTAAGAAAATTGACAATCCGTACCCATCCTTTGTGCACCTTTGTAATCGTACACCACCGGTATATAAAAAATATTCACCGGCTTGATTGCCAATATATCGCGCACGCCGCTCTGATTGAACCTACAACCAACCCCCTCCATCTTCACGTGCGCTCCTCTCTCTCTCTCTCTCTCTCTTTCTATACCAGCCAAACCGTCTCCCGGCATCGGCCTGTTAATTTGGGATATCGCCATTCCCACAATAGAAAAATTGCGCGATACGAATTATTTATGTTTATATAATATCCACCCGATACATGGGTGGAAAACGAACAATGCAATTTTTCGAACCGCGAAAAAAGGGTGGTGGTGAGGAGTGGGGCGGGTGCTCGTTTCGTTTCGGGCATCGCCGCTCTCGACAACGCGCGAAAATCGTATTATCGCGGATAGAATTTCGTTAACGAGCTTCATTTCGCGAAAGAATCGCGCCACTCACAAAGAATCGGTTCGGATAACACGGATCATGGGAAATATTATGAACTCTCGCGCGTTCGATTCGAGAAATCGGCGACGCGTCGTTTTGTCGTGTTTTTTCCACGTGCGTATGTATGTATGTATATGTACAACGTACGAAACGCGTGTGCGCGTGCGCGCGCGTGCAGATCTTGGTGAACTTCGTCTCGCTGATTCCTCTTATTCGTCGATGATTCGTCGATGATTCGTCGCCCGCGTATACGATATTTCGTTGTTCCTCTCTCTTTCTCTTTTCTCGTCTCCTTTCTCTTTCCTTCTTTTTTTTTTTCCCCCATTTTGCACCACCCCTCCTTGTACCCTATCGAACGGCGTGTGTGTCTACCACCATTATTTCGTAGCGAAGCATTTTAACGTCGGCCAGTTGGACCGTGAATGATTATTAATCAATTTTCAGCGTTAAACGTGCCGCCGCAATAAAAAGCGTGGTACGTTAACGAACCACGCGCGTATAATTGAGCATTTTGGCGAGAATGATTGCGAGCCCGTGATAAAACCTTTGCGTGCCCGTTCGATTGATTTCGGCCAGCAAGGAGAGAAAAAAATCGGGGCGCGCAGGTAACGGGGATGGTAAAAAGGGTGGACGACTTGTGTAGTTTCGATTTCTCTCTTTCTCTTTCTCTCTGTCTCTATCTCTGTCTTTTTATATATTTTTATTGGATAGGAAGCCACGTCACCGTGGCGAGGATCGCGTGCGCGGAATCGATTAGGATATCGGATTAACGATTTTGGGAATTTAATAATTCGGTGAGATCTGTAGATTCTTTTGTTTCGCGTACGTCGAATTTATTAAAAGTTCGATCGGAAAATATTTACGTGATTGAAAATAACGAGTGTATGTAATAAAGTGACACATGGTCATAACGAATAAAATGTTCGTTCATTCTAATAAAAATTTCCTTTTATTAAAAAATTACTACTGTACTTTTCTTTAAAAATAAATAGGATTCTTGTTAGAAATTCAGATCGATCTGCTAGATCTAGTATGATCTAAATTAAGAAAGGAGAAAAGAAATTAAAACAACAAGCTTAATTTATTTTATTTCTTATATAATATTTAATAATATTTCTCAAATATTACAAATGAATTGACACGAACTTATGGATGCAAATTCGTTACGAAATCGTACACACATCGATAGAGGAGAATAAAAATAACGCTTAACATTTTAAAAAATGTTAATGAAAAATAAATTAAATATAGCATCATTCCTGTTCTTCTCTCAAAGTAACTCTCAGTGTGTCAACTTGCTTACGCAACGCGAATTAATTATATCGGCGCACAATGGGTGATGGGATCGATAATTTAAAAAGTTGGTCGTGTTCCCGGGTTGGACGAAGAGCGTCATCGAAAAGTTGGGACGTTTATCGAATCCCCTTGGGATAGGTTGGGGTCCGGCGATCCACGCTGTCCTTAAACAGGTAGGAAAGTTGGAAGTTTGCAGTGGCTTTGCCTGACCTTCGTGAAATAATCAGTCGTGGTATCGGGCGAACTCCCTTCGAGCAACGTTGTTCGAACGTTCCTCCGGGTTTTAACCGGGGAAACGGCACGATAATTGTGCCACTCGTTTACCTTCATCCCCCTTATTACGCATTACTGGAAATTATAATCGTCGAGCACACCTGAAACTCGTACAATCGAATTCTACCATTCACTTTCGACTCCATTCAAACGTGATCATCGAATTAGTATCGAATTATATTATAATGCTATGCATACGTAATTATCCGTGTATTTAATAATGATTCGATCGTGTAATCAATTTTCCAAATTGATATTACACATAATATTACGTTTGGAAAAATTTTGATTCTCATCATCTAATTCCAATTTCCATTTCGATTATATTTCGATGGAAATATAATAATCGATTTTCACAAATCGATTCGAAAATCGAGACGAAGAGAGAAAGAAGAAGTTTTGAAGATTGGATCGAAGAAAGGCTCGAAGACGTTCGAAAAACTCGATCGTCAACTCGATATCCCTTCCTTTAACTTTGGCCATTAATGTCGAAAATCGGTGATAAAAAAAAAAAGGAAAGGATAGGGTAGAAAATTTGCGGCGACGTATATAGTCGAAAGCACTTTGTTTCCAGCGTCGGCGGTCGAATATTTTATAATTGTTATCAATACGGTACAAATGCGAAGGGGTTTCAAACGCGGCGTAATAAACGAAATAAAGTATCGCCATTTTCGCCGCTGACAGAGCGCATTGCTCGCCGGTCGGACTTTTCGGCCGTGTTTTCACCGGTGCCTCTTCAATCGTAATTAATATTTTTTCCCGGCGGCTGCTTTTTTCTGGCTTTCGATAAATTCGACAAAAAAAAAAAGATGAAAAAACAGAAAAAAAACATTACAGGGACGTATGATTTCGCGATACAGTGTTCGATCTTTCCTATTTTTTTCTTTTCTTTTCTTTTTCATTTTGTTCAACGTGTTTCGTTGAAATGTTTGGGAATGTTTAATCGCAGGATTCAATGTAAGTTGAGATGATGTGCGAATTGTTGTAACTAACCATCTGGATGGACGTTTTGTTCCAGGATAGCGATAGAAGTAGCGTTGGCAGTCCTGAACCGGTGGCGGCCACTGGCTCGCTCCATGAGCATCAGATGATGATGGATGAAATGAAAAACTCGCGGAAGAATAGCCCGTCACCTGAAAATCTCCATCAAGCGAAACGGGCAGCGGTGGCGCAAGCACATCTCAATGGAACGAGTGAGTTTAGATTTCCCCTATTACATAGATTAATAATTTAGATTGTGATTTTATTAATAATTAATCATTGATCGAAGAGAAGGTGTACATTTTTCTACATTATATATCGAAAGTTTCTTCTTCTCGGCTCATATCAATATAAATTAATTATCGCGTATTTTTTTAAAATTTAAAATTTAAAATCTTAGATACTAATAGATATTTAAGTAACTTTTACACTTTTATATTTTGTATTTCTCATTCTTATTGAATGAGAGATAAGAGTCAATATGACGAATTAGAGGATGCGTTTAATTAAAGAGGAAAAATATAATTGTAATTAAATGTTTGTCATTATCAGTGGCAGGAATGGTGACCCTACAGAATCTTCAGAATTTGGCGAGTCTACAAAATCTACCGCAAGTCGCATCGTTGGCCGCAGGTCTCCAGGGAATGACAGCGGGATTGACTAACAATCAGCTCATCAACACACCCCTGAATCTCACTGTCAGCTCCTCGGGTAGGGATACAAACAGTCATCGCATGGCTTGACGAACCGGCAACACGCAAAACTCGACAATCCTTTTCATTCGCTTGAATTATATTCAAATTTCATCCCTTCACCGATTCAATTAAACTTTAACGCCGTTGCAAATAATGCAACACGCTTGTAATCTTTAACCCCTTCGCGCTGATTCGTCAAGTTGTTTTCTTTATTATTCGGATCAAGATATCTTTTTCTTTTTTTTTTTTTTTTTTTTTTTTTTTTTTTTTTGGTTTCTAATAATTTTGATCGAATAATTAATATTTTTCACGCTAGAACTACCAATTTATATGTATCTACATATAGAGTGGATCGTTCAAAAAATATTTTCTTATTAGTTGAAAAAAATTTCGATACAGAATCACATTATTTAAATATGTCGGTGTAAAAATTTAGAAAATATTCATACATATAAAAGACCACGATTAATCTGTTTAATCCGTTTAAGAAAAATTTAGCAGCGTAAAAATATACGAAAGCTCGTAAAATAACATGGAAAAAATATATAAATATTTAAAATATAGTATATTCGTATTACGTAATATAATATTCAAGTAGATAAAACAAATCTCCGTTTTGGCTTATATATTTATATGAAAATTATACGATTTTTCGCAAAGAACGTTCGCAACCTATTTACAAACTCTGACAAATTTGGCGGTTCTAGCGTTGAGAACAAAAAAAAAAAACAGGTGGTGAACAGCTAATTAAATCGGCAGATTCTCTTTTCAGCGAATGAATTTTCATGTTCAGGTGGCACGGTACCAACAGCCTCGAACACGACAGCTGCCCCTCACCTCCTGCCACCGAGCTCGACGCCAATGGCGACATTACCTCAGCTATTATCTCAGCCGCAACCGGTCGCGATGCCTCAATTCATCCTAACGTCCGGTCAATTGGTTCAAGGCATTCAAGGGGCTCAGCTCCTTATCCCTACGTCGCAAGGTAAGCCTTCTGTTTCTTATGTGTTAGCACCCTTTCAACACACTCGAAACGAGCATTGAACGACACCCATTAGAGGCTTGTCCGCGATCGAAGTTAAGGCCGTCCATGTCCAACGTGTCACGT